TGTAAGCTGCAAATTGGTAAAAAATTCAAAAATGATTTTTAGATTTTGCTCATTTTATTTATATTTTTCTCTACAACGGATGTTACATGAAAGTAATGTATATATATAAACATATGTATATATACATAACGGCTTTATATAAATTTCCATATAAATACCCACACTATAATCAACTTTTCCCCGACTTATTGGCATTATATACAAAAGTATACGCAAATACATAAAATGTTATAGGTATACATATTATTTAAACTTAATGTACACGAGTACTTATATAGGTAACTTACTTGCTAGAAGCTATAAATACATACATATATGTACATATATTTATATTTACATAATATAGTATTATTTATAAAGTAGAATAAAATGTAAAACACCAAAAATAACATCATATAAATATAAAATAATAACAACAACAAAAACCCACTTACAAAAACAAAATTATGTGCATATATTATTTAAAGTAAAAATAAATGTGTATGTACGTACATACGTAAATAGGTATAGATTGACAACTTGAGTCCATACATATATAAAAATATCCACCTACTCACATTTAAAGCTTTTTTGGTTTAGATGAATGAAAAATAGATATTATTCAATCGATATTTTACAATATTTTTGCTACAAATTACTATAGAGGCGTGATATTTTTTTTTTTTGTTTTTATTTTTCCATAAATTAATAAAGTGAAAAAAAAGTAATCTTGAAAAAAAAAGTTTCTGTTTGCACATAATATGCTTACATGCACATACAAATATGTACGAAAATATTTCTAAATATACAATAAAAGATTTGATATAAAAAATATTATGTAGGTGGATATTCAGTGACGGGCAAAGTGACTACCCAGCCTCAACTTCAAGTAATAAAAACTTTATGATCGAAAACTTCCTATGCTTAGTCAGACATGCAATTTTTTGTTTTACACTGTTTGATTGCTTATTTGTATTCCCTTGGTTTATATTCAAACGAGCCCAGATGCAACTAAATATACGATCGCATGCAATTAAGCAATCAAACCGTTTGTAATTTTTTACAAAGTAATTGAAATTTTTGGTTAACGCGATTGGATTTAAATTGATGCAATAGTTTAGTTTCTTAGATTTGAAGGCAACGATCTTACAATCAAGCGGTAATTTCAAAACGAAAAATTGATTTGAAGTGTCTATTACTGTTAAACCAAACCAATAAAACCAAACAGTGTTTCATTAATTTTATGTACTTATGGGTGATTGTCCACTCATGTCCATTTCTAGTTGGATACAATCTATTTGTATTAAAATTTGTGCAATTCAATTTTGAATTTCAATAGGAAAATTTTGATTTCACTTTTATAAATTTTATGATATATCGAAATTTCATTGTAATTCAAGAGGTGCATCTTAAAAATATTATAAATATACCGAATTGAGATTTGTAACTTTCGAAGCTCCAAATGGTTATTAAAATGAATACATACATACATAATGTACTCAAAATAGGGAATTAATTTTTATGCCTTAACACTTTGCCGTAATCTAATCTTGGTTCTAATAGAAAGAAATATTAAACTTTTGATTATCTTTTTACATCCTTCATAACACGTCTGCAATTTTGAAAAATTCACTGAGAATATAGTTTATATGAAAATGGACAAGTGACCTCTTAAAGTAATAGTTAACAATTCGTATTGTTAACTCATCACTGATATAATAACTACTCTATTGGTAGTTACCAAACTATAATTTATGTAACTACAAAATATTAAAAAAAAAGTAAAACGAAAATATTACATTCGTGATTTATTTTTACCGGGTATCTGCAAATATTTCTAATTGATAAATTTATGTACATATGTATATAAGTACAATATTGTTATATAAAATGAAAACTCAAACTAGTTTACTAATTATTTTTAATGAAAAGTTCAAACTAATTTTTCGTTTTTTTGCTACACTGTAACTTATTACTCGTATTTTACGCAGCAAAGAAATACCTTAAATATTATGAATGAGACAATTTTTTTGTTTCATGTGGGTTGATATTCTATCAAATCGATTAAAAATTATGTGCATATTTTTATGGTAAAAGTAGTAAGATTATTTTAATTTTAATTAATCAAAAAAATTTTATCGAAAATTTTATAGTATAAATGAATTGAAATTGCGTTCCAGTAAAGTTTATTTGCAATCAATTTTTATTTTTATATATACTTAGGTCTCAAATAATAATTAAATCTGCAATTTCTCTATTGATTAAGATATATTTATTTTATCGACTTAACTGAAATAAAAAATTTAAACATTGCTTTTTTTTGCTTTAATATTCCCCAACCATTTTTTTAGCAACAAACCAAATTTATTTCTAAACTGAAACAGATAAAAAAACTGGATGCAATATGGAATGAAAAGACCTTTGGATTTTAAATAAATCACTGCTGTTATTAGCTGATTCCTAGGCTTGTATATGGATATGTACACAAATATGTACATATGTATATATGATTTTATATAAATGCTGTGTTGTGGAAATTAAAATAAAGTAACTTGTGGTCAACAAATAAATTAATGAAAATATGTATATAAATGCGTACTTTTTGCATATTGTGATAGTGCAAACAACCAGATTTTTGGAAAATATGCAATAATAGAGACTATTAAAAACATATGTGTTTGACATATTGGTTTCCATGTTTTACAGAATTTCATTACTGTTCTTTTAGTAATACTATAATAAAATTATGTGATACCCGTACGAATTTGTTATCCTATTTGCGAATAACTAATGTGCCATAACTAACTATGGGGCAGACTATGACTTTAAGTTGCCGTATTACCATATTAATTTATGCAAAATTTCAGTACTATGTGTTTTTCAAAATACTGGTTGTGCCAAACTACTATTGAAGTTGTATGGCAGGTACCAGAAGGAGCCAAGTAATTTCAACGACTTTTATGAGACACATTGGCCCTACTAATATATTCGTTTGTGTGAAATTTCAATACCATAGCTTTTATAGTTTCTGAAATATAGTCAAAAAATTTTTGAAGTTGTATGGCAGGTACCAAAAGGAGTCAAGTAATTTCAACGACTTTTATGAGACATATTGGCCCTACTAATATATTCGTTTGTGTAAAATTTCAATACCACAACTTTTATAGTTTCTGAGATATAGCCAAATAAATTTTGAAGTTGTATGGCAGCTACCCGAACCGGTACCCCGATCATGTCCAATTTAAATAGGGTTCTGGAATTTACTACAATAAATCATTTGTGAAAATTTGGTGAACTCAGCTCAATTAGTTTTTGAGTTATCGTTCGGACAGACGGACGGACGGACAGACAAAGCTAAATCAACTCAGAATTTGACGCTGATCAAAAACATACACTTGAGTCTATATTTAACGCCGTTATTTCTTAGCGTTACAAACGGTAAGGCAAATTTAGTATACCCTTCGAACATACGTTCGTACGGGTATAATAATTTTATGCGATTCAAACGATTGTTTTAGTTTGTGTTCTTCATATTTTTCTGTTATTTGCTTTTGCTCCCACGACCGGCTATAACATTTATGTAGTTCATACATTTTAGTACACAAACATACACAATACTAGAAAATATTTAATAGGAAATAACTTCTGCTCATTTTAATTTCGTTTAAAGTTGTGTTTAGTATTTATACAAAAATAATTTGAAATAAAATTCATGATCCCGCTGAATTTCGTAGAATATCAAAATATTAATATATATACATATATGCATATGTTTGTACAAATATATATACATATATATATATATGCACATACATATATATCAAATTATAAGAAAAAATTATGATCCCGCTGAATTTCGTAGAACTCCAAACTTTTTTTTTTGTTGACAGCAAAGCAAATAAACAAAACCAAGCGAAATGAATAAAAAGAGATTTTTAATGAATGAACTACTGCGATGATTTTTATATATGTGTATATATGCATACAAATATGTATGTATGGATATGTACATATGTATGTACATATTTCTTAAGACTGTTATAGATATAGCAATATAATGTTGATTATTCTGAACATATGTAAATACATATGTATGTTTATTTATGTTGAAGTACATACATATGTACATACAGGTCTACGAATTGTTTTAACTCCATTTAAAAGAAATTATGTAGGATATTTGGCTTTGCCTGTTTAGCATTGTTTACATGTACAGTTTACATATGTACATGTTTGTATCTATTTACTAAAATGTTCTACATATTATGATTATGTAGCATGACTTACATACGCTTTTCGCAATTCAGTTTTCATTGGAGCTACAGCGGTAATTAATTTATTGTCAATGTAATTTATTCCGTTAATGATTTTCATATACATATGTAGTTTTTTAAATACAATAAAATTTATACATGCCTTCAAAAACATTATTAACCAACACAAGTTGTTAAATATGTCCACAATGCAAAAGCTAAATTATTGTCTTCATTTATTGCTCCCTGATATCTATTTGCGGTTGACGAACGATTTCATTTTAAAAATTTTTTTTGCGTTGTAAAAAACAAGTACATATCTATTCTATATTATGATTGTGGTTGGCGTGTTTCCTACTTCATATATGAAAGTTATCAACCTTCTACACTTTGATCTAAGTCATGAGGCCGAGAATCTATAGTAAAATATGGAAAAGCAGCTTATTGTGAAGAATTAAAATTTTACAAAGTTACTTCCAAATTTTTGTTATATTTTTTAGTTATTTTCTAATATTTGTCTATTATAAATTAGTTGTCATTTCTTTATTCACATATTTATCCATCATGTGAACTTGCTCAAATTTGCTGTACTAGGAAATTAAAAATTAAAAACGTGGCCCAGTTTAAAAAGTGCAACAAAATAACTCGTTTACATTTAGGGTATCAATTATAAACAATAGTTTTTTATTTTCTCTTCCTATCTCCGAATTAAAAAAACTGTCAGACTATTAATGTCACTGTAACTGTCAGTTGTTTCCTTATCGTTTTACGAAAATAAAATAATTTTTTTTGACGAATTATGAAATCTTTGTGATAACGGAAAACCAAAAAAAAGATTCAGGAATATATTTTTTTAAATTTTAATTATGATTCGTAATATTTCACCAATTAAAACAATTGTTAATGTGAGAATTACTTAATAAATACCATTAGTTAATTCTTGCTTATTATTTTATAATGTATTTTAAAAAAGATAAGATCTGGAATAAAATGTCAACACACAAGCACCACAGTAAAACGAATAGAAGAAATTCGAGAAAGATTATCGAAAGGTCCAAGTTTTCAGGATTTTGTTCAAAATCCAGACTATGGAACTGAAGAATGGAATAAAGAATATGAAGGAAAACTAAAAAGGGAAAAGGGGGAAAATGATCGTTTACCCTTACCTCCATGGTTGAAAACTGAAATACCAAAAGGAAAGAATTTCAGTAAAATCAAGGCACAATTAAAGGAGCTAAAGTTGGCAACAGTTTGTGAAGAAGCCAGATGTCCAAATATTGGAGAATGTTGGGGTGGTGGAGAACATGGTACGCAAACTGCAACAATTATGGTTAGTTTGATTTAGTCAATATTTTGGGAAAAATACATGCAAATATTTTAAAAGCTGGCTAAATTTTGATATTTACTTGTTTCCCATTTATAGTTAATGGGTGATACTTGTACAAGGGGTTGTCGGTTTTGCTCAGTTAAAACTGCGCGAAATCCTCCACCACTTGATCCAACAGAACCTGTAAAAACTGCTACAGCGATTGCATCTTGGGGATTAGATTACATTGTATTGACATCAGTCGATAGAGATGGTATAACTAGATGAACAAATTTTAAATATATTTTTTACGTTTTTTGTTTTATGTAGATTTAAAGGATGGCGGTGCATCGCACATAGCTGAAACAGTTAAAGAAATTAAGAAAAGGTGAACTGATTTAAACATAGTTAGCTTTAATAACATCTATTAAATTTAATTATAGAAATCCGAATATATTTGTTGAATGTTTAGTACCTGACTTTAGAGGAGACGAAAACTGTGTTCGAACTATTGCAACATGTGGCTTGGATGTTTATGCCCATAATATTGAAACTGTTGAAAAATTAACTCCATTTGTAAGAGATCGACGTGCCCAATATAGGCAAACATTAAAAGTTTTAAAAGAAGCTAAGAGCGTTAACCCAAACTTAATAACGAAAACCTCTCTAATGCTTGGTTTGGGTGAAACTGACAAAGAAGTCGAACAAACAATGAAAGATTTAAGAGAAATAGAAGTCGATTGTCTTACATTAGGGCAATATATGCAACCAACAAAGAGACATTTAAAAGTGGTGGAGTACGTAACCCCAGAAAAATTCAAGCATTGGGAAAAAAGAGGTAACGAACTTGGATTTTTATACACTGCTAGTGGTCCATTAGTAAGAAGTTCATATAAAGCTGGAGAATTTTTTATAACGAGCATTTTAAAGGGTCGTCAACAAAATAAACAATAATTAGGAAAATTTTTAGATGTTAAATACATAATTGAATCTTTTGTATGTGTATAAATTTAAATGCATGATTTATATACATTAAATATATATCTATTAAACAATATCCATAACAATAAAAATAGCATTATTAGTTGTTAATCCCTGAAAGAATACATCAAAAACATTCTGGGTCAGAATCTACAGCCAAAACTGTGTCGGAATCTGACGGTAAGTATGTTGGTTCGAAACATCTTCTAAATAATTTCTTGAGTTTTTTACTAGGCGGGGACGCAGGAATACAATCTTCTTGAATTTCAGTATCGATAAAAGTGACAGAATCATCATCACTTATGTTTAAAGTCACAGGTGGAGGAAAATTACTGACTCTTGTCGATTTTTGATTCCTTGCAGCGTCATTTTTTGATGTGTCATTTCTAGCACTGTTTTGTTCTTTTTGAGAATGATTTTTTATTGTACTTTCTAAATCTATGTCCATTAAGATATCATCAGTAATATCATTTTCATCATCTAAACTAACAGTGTCTGTTAATGATTTTTTTCGTAAATTTTCATTTTGGTTTTGCGACTTGTTATTCACGTTATTTTCTTTTAGAGATATATTTCTTGTGTTTGATTTGTTCACATCCTCATCTATCATCGATATATCATCGGGTGATAAAGTAGACATAAACAGTGTAGCTTCAAACACTGATAAATTTGCAATTTTGAAAACAACAGGCATTCCAGCTTCTTCGAAAAACACTGAAATATCAATATTTAAAGATTCTGCGAAATGAAGTAAAGCTCTAAATTCTCTTAAACAATAAGTTATAGAACACTCCTTTTTAATGGAATAAACATCAAATTCTTCTCCTTTCAGCTTTAATTGTGATCTCATAAATTTTGGATCAATTACCTGACCATCTATGTAATTTTTAACTATCAAACGATTAGATTCAGCTACCATAGTTATTTCATCTTCTTGCATTTGAAAATTGTTCGAAATATCAGAAAATATTTTCGTTGACCCACAGATTCTATTTCGCTTGTCAATGTTTCCAATACTACCCGGTTGAAGCACTTCGACATCTAAAATTTATTAAATACAATGCTGATATTAATGTGAATTATAATATAAAAGTAATAGTATAGAATCACCCAATATAGAAACTATATATTTCTTTTTGGTATCTAGCTTGCAATTAAATTCTATTATTAACTTTTCGGCTTCCGAATCAATTGATATTTTGCATTGGTCAACTTGTTTCATATTTTTGAAAATTCCTAAAAATGTTTTGATTGATACTTTACACTTCCCATCAAAGATATTTTGACTTAAATTTTCATATTCATAATCAGAGAAAAAGCTATCCAAAAATTTAAATGTAATATAAGCAGATTTTGTATAATTAATTGATTTCAACGATAGTCCATCAGCTGAAAGATTTGTTTACATTGTGAATTTATTTAAATGAAGTCATTTTCTGGTTTCATATTAGATTACCTTCGGGCTCAAAATATAAATCCCCAAATTTCGCGACTGTATTAATTGCTTTCGCAAATATTCTTGCATTATTCCCTGGTAAAACACATATCATTTTTATATTTTTCAAAATTCTAAGTAACCTTTTTTAAAAACACCGAAGTAAACAAAAGAAACGTTCGTGGTGCTGCATAAATGTCTATTATATGACATTTTATGTCTATTATGAGAGGTTAAAATGACATTTTCATAGTTTTATAAATAAATGAAGCTAGTACAAGTACACCTATTTTTTTATTTGGTACTTCTATGATTGGCTACTGGTTGATTGTCAATTTCAATTTTAATGATTTATTTTTTTTCAAATATTAGGTATGTCTGCATATGAAAGTTTTTCAAAATTTTATTTTGTTAAAAAAACTTGAGAAAACTTTATAAATATTAATGTTAAAGACTAGGGTTATATTGAAAAGTATTCAAAATATTCTTTTGCTTATTCAAAACGCGCCGGATTTTTTATTTATTTGTTCAAGATGTTTGTGGTGAATTTTTTTGTTAAAACTGGAATTGATTATATATTTGAATGCATAAGGCTTTGTGACTTCTGAGAATTATTTTTTGAGAAGGAATATAAGTAATTCTAAAATTTCTACAGTTTTGTCTGCAGAATTTCGACTTACAATAGCGTTTTTGTATCATTGCCTGGCGTCTAGTAGAGAAACTATAAAAGGTTTGAAGAAACACTTAAAATAAGAACAGGGACGTACAAAAACTAATAATTTAATTGGATAATCCATTAAATTTCGGTGTCGACTTGTCATTTTTTTAGCTTATTTATTTATTGTAAAAAGCAAGGATAAATTGCACTTGGCTTGGGAGATAAAATTAACAAAAGATATGAAATATAATATAATTTAACTTTGCATAATGTTTGCTGATGGTTACAAGTTCTGGTTAGCTTTCAAGACTGATAAGACCAAGTAATTGTTTACATTTTGTTATAGACTTAAAATTGCATGATTTTGTTTTGAATTTTTAGTTACTACAGATGCAGTCGTTATCCTTCATCAAAATGTCCTGGAAGGTGTTATGTCGACAAAAATGGAAAAGTGAAACACACAACAGAACATAATCATCCTCCTGAACCAAATCGGCTGCTCTTAGATAAATTCAGAAAATCTTTAACACGCAGAGCGGAAAAGGAAACTACTGAACTTTTTAAAATTTACTGTGACGAGGCAAGCAAACACGTAGATGCCGCGCTATTGTATCCTTTTGCTGCCGCTGAATCAGCAATGAGAAAAGCAAGACGGAAGCAATTGCCAGATTGTCCAGACACTGTTAAAGATGTTGTTGAAACACTAGACCATAATCAAGATTTATTTCGTGTTCATAGTGGTTCAGATAGAGACGCACTTTATCAGAAAACTATATCAATTGACGATTGTGTTTGCATGATTTTTATGCATCGTAAGACATTTGATTTATTTCGGGGAAAAATAGAAGAATTACATGTAGACGGATCTTTTGAATTTGTTGCACAAAATCATCCTACTTATCATTTAATAACATTTTATGCTGTACTGGGTCATATTGTAAGTCCAACTGTAAAATTGTTTCAAAATTAGTTAAAAATAAGTCAATGTTTTAGACGGCTCCAGTTGTATATTCCATTTCTACCGCAAAATCACAAGCAGCATGTTCCACAATATTCGCTTACTTAAGAGATGATTTAAAAATACGTCCAAAAATTTTGATTTGTGATTTTGATCCAATACTACAGACTTCATTATCCTATATTTATCCAGATACTGTTATTAAAGGATGTTGGTTTCATTACACTGATGCAGTTTTAAGCCAAATGAAATTGTTAAAGCTAAAAAAAGAAACTGCCAAGGGAATTGGCGCAAGTGCTTTAAAAATGTTACTGGTGTTACCTTTGCTACCACCGGAATATATGGTGCCAGGTTTGGAGAGTACAAGGAAATGGATGGAAGAAAAGACAATATTTTCAGAGGGCCTATCAAATTTATGTGATTATGTTGAAAATCATTGGTTGAGAGCTGTTGGTACGAAAAAAATGTCAATTTTTGGAACAACAAGAATATCATCAAATCATTTGAAAAATTTTAATAAAGAATTAAGCAATACTATAGGTCAACAAAAACCAGTAATTTGGGTTATTCTGGATTCTTTAACACAAATAGCAACAAAGATATTTGTTAAAACTTCTAGAAAAATTAAAAATTTTAAAAATGCAGCTCATTTAAAAACTATTTCTACCAAAGGTAATAAACTTGTGAAAAATTTTTAAAACATGTGTCATTTTAATTTAAACATTTATAGATTTTGACACTTCTAAACAACCTACGAAGCTTCCGGCTAAATCTTTAAAACGAAATGAATTGATCTCAGAAACTGTAATATCCAGGGCAACGCAAGTCTGGATAAAAACACCAGTGCATTTACGGAATCCATTAGTTTTTCTCCAATTAGCAAGTCACTGCATAAATGACACTGTATACTTGGAGACATTGTCAGATATAAAAGAAAGATATTTGCATCCTATTACGACTCCACCTGCCACTGTTATATCAAACATAATTGTGTCAACTGCCAACTCAAATGTCTCTAGTTCGCAAAATAATGCTATAGAACCAATTTCAACTCAGTCAATCATAACATCTCAAACAGATTCTTTAACTTCGTTACCAACACATTCATATTCAACAGGTACTTGGAATACGGCTACCCACCAGGACGTTTTACAAAATTGTGACAGTCCGTTACAAGATCTACAAAATGCTCCGAATTCTCCATCCTTAAGTGTTATTCTTCAAGAGAACACATTTAATTGCCCATCTATTACACATCAAGAATTTTTATTGGCTCAGCCGGGTCAGGCACCACCCGATTCACAACAAAGTTCTTATACAAGTTGCTTTGCCCAAAATAGACTGAATGTAGATTTAAATAGAACTTCAGAATCTGCCATTCACTTACAACAAATACAATGTGATAATCAAACACAAAACTACTTTACTTTTAATGAATGCCATGTTATGGTTTCAGATTCAAACGTTGAAAATGATCGTGAAGCATGTGCAAATTCTGATCAAGGCGAACATTCTGCTATTCAACAACAACGACAAAATGTGTCATGTTTACCGACAAGGCATCAACAAAATGAAGAACATTGTAAATATCATAAAGAAACTCAACCATATAAATCTCCACATAATATGCGAACTAATTCTTTTGATATACAAAACGCACAAGTAAAATGTATATCAAAAACTAACAATTTTTCGTCTAAGTTATCAGAACCTCCACCATTAGTATTTTTTAATTCAGTTAAACGTTTGCCATGTAAACGTATTTTACCATTATTATCAGATCCTCCTCCTTTAGTTCCAATAAGAAATAATGTAACAAATAGTCTTCGGAATAAATCAAGCAACTATGGCTCTAATTTAAAAAATAATTAAAGTTATTTCTAAAACTTGAATCTGAAAGCAATTGTCTTAAAGTAATATTGAAGAATAGTTACAATATTTAAAATTTTTATCATTAAAATTCAGTTGAATACAGCTTTATATGCGTCTATATTAAAAAAGATTCTCTTTATTGCTATAAGCTTTTGCTTATTAAATGGGAAATTTATATTTTTGTATATAAAACAAATTAATTTCTCATTAATAAAATTGAAAAAAAAAATATATGGGCATAAATAATATTGAATTTATTAAAAAATTAAGATTATTTAATTTTATATACTAAATATTTTTTATTCTTATTATTTTTATTGATATTCGACTTAATCATTAAATTTATGTTAACAGAAACATAGATATATTTTTAACTTTAAAATTCATTTTTATAATGATTGATATTTTTGGTGCGGGTTTATTTTTTGCCAACCTTTAAGCTCTCTGTATACTTGCTGGTAACTATTTTTTATTCCATAATTAGAGTATAATAAGAGACCTAAAATATGATATTTATTAGAAACTAAAATAATATTTAATCAAAATCATTACAAAAAACTATTTTAGTTAATAAAACACTTAAATTACAGGTTATATATTTTTACTTACTTTATTATAGAAAATACATATTACCCCAAAATAAGGTTAAATAGGTTAGATAGGTTAAAAATACTTTTTGTTAATATTATGTCTGATTTAATAAAAAATTCTAAAAAAAATTGTACGAAATATCAGTATTATAATTTTTTTGCTAAATAAACATAATTCTCGTGATAAATGTAACAATCACAATTTCGAATCTTTTTTAAAAAAATTAATGAAATGGTAATGTTGGAGAGGCTTATAGGAGGAGTGGTACGCAGTATAAGTTTAAAAACTTTATTTAATTAAATTTTTTAATAATATTTATTTTATATTTTATAAGTGAGTGAGAAATTCTCTTTAGTAAGTGAAATTTAATATTTGTATTTAATTAAAAAATTTCGAAATTAAGAGAATTGCTTATTTAGGCAAATATTTTTATTAGAAAATTCGCCATACTAAATATTTAACATTTTCATAAGAATTAATATTCACATATTACTTTGGAATTTAGTAGTTATTAATTTAAAATTGAGTTAATATACATATATGTACATACATAAATAACAAAAAACATACATAAACAAAAAAGTAATAAAAATTTTTGCTACATTCAACAAACAAAAAAAACTATTAAGTTTAAACTAAAATTCTAAATGTACAACTACGTTTTATTAATAGGTTTTAAATTTTTTCGTACATTTTCAAGACTAATTGCTTGGTTATTTTCATTTAATCCAATTTTATTACTACTTTGACTAATATTATCAATTGGTTTTGCAATTGATTTTCTTGTATTACGTATACTTTTTAGGACATCACTATAATTATTTTTATGTACATTTTCATCATTAGAATTTAGTGTGACTTCTTTACTCAGATCTGAAGTAGGTTTTTTTGGAGAAGGAGGTGGATACTGTCTTTGAATTTTATATGATGGGCCCCTTTGAATAATTGCAGCTAATTTCTTTTTAAATTGTTCTGGCGTAGGTATTTCTTCAGATTTTTCTTCAATAATTTCATTTGTCTTGGATTGATTTTTTTGATTCTGAGTATCATCACTTAAAGTAGTTGGCAGTCTTGTTGATTGATTTTTTTGATGAGTAATGTTATCCTTACCAACTAATTCTTCTAATTTTGGTCTTTCTTTTGAATGTCGACTAGAATTTGCACCTAAACTTTTATATAAAATTGGATCAAATTTCGGAGGTTTTGGAATATTATTTTCATTTAAAGTTTTTGAAGCTTCCCTGATAGGATTTAATTCTACATTGTCATCTTTTCGTTGCTTTTTGATATCCTCGTGTAACAATTTCAAGACATCGGTTTCACTTTTCGATGGTTTTAACCGCTTCTCATCCGGAATCTCATTTTGAGTGTCTTTTACAAGAATTTTACTAGGTATCTCATTCTCTTTTGAATTTTCTTTATGATTTTGTTTTACTACAGGTATAACTGGGTTTTTTGTTTTTGATATCACGTTTTGTCCCATTATTCTACTAAGTTTTTCCTTAAAAGAGTCAGAATGTAGGGGATCTTCATATGATGTGATGGAAGTTTTTGAAGATTTTCTGTTTAAAGTTGGCGAATTGTGTGATTTTAATGGAATAAATGTCCTTGTTACTTTAGGTGATGAAGGATTAGGTTGTTCTTTAATACTGTTTTTTGAATTTTCGTCAGAAGATAAAATTAAATCATTTGAAATAGAATCTGGAATAATCGATTTTTGTAAATTTTCTGCATTGACGGTGTTGTCTTGAATTTCTTTGATTATTTCTGCATTTTTTATTTCAGAATTGAGACTTGGTCTAGGTGTATCGTCTATTATATTAGGATTAACGGAATCAATTTTATTTGACTTTTGTATTTTAGGTGAATTTATTAATAAATTACTTCCCGGTATAAGAACTTGTTCAATATTCAAATCAGATTCCGTTTCTTCATTTAAATTTTCATTAGAATTTAAATTAACTAATCCAGGATTCGCTGTTGCCATACTTGTTTCTTGAATAATTTTATCATTAGAATTTTCAGTTAACGTTATTTCTGTGTCATTTACAATAATATTTGATTCAATTTCATTTTCTTTATCTAGTTCAATACCCGAATCTTTACTTTCGCTACTAATAATATTGACGGTTTCATTTTCTACTTCTTCTGCAAAACAATCATTTGGTCTATGAATTATGACTGCTGTTGAAACATTATGAAATGATGGAATTTGTTCTGAGTCAATACTCATTTGTCTACCAAACTGATAATTTTCACTTTCTTCTTGTAAAACATTGTCTAGAATATCGAGAACCGATTTGGTAACATCATTTGAATCCTCATTCGTTATATTTTCATCCGGTTCATCATTTATTGCTTTAGGATTGTTGTGTTCAACTAAATATCTATCACCATTCGAATGTTTCATTTCTTTAAGAGAATCTGAAAATTCAGATTCTAATATGATATCATCTATGTTTGTTTTTGGAGATGGTGAAATGTTTGATTCAGTTATTTCATTTGAATTTTGATCTAGTTCATTTTTAATACAAAATTGTGCTGTTCCATTTTGTAGAACTTTTTCATCATTTAAATGATTGTTTTTTATATCATCATCAGTTGGAGAACATTTTAAATCACTATAATGTGGAGTATATTTTAGATCTGAAGACTTTGAAATATCACATTTGGTTCTATCATATAAACATATGCAAGGTAAGTATATTATTAGCCCTAAGTTGTTTGTTGTGTTAGTTTTATTTAAATATATTTTGTATTTAAATGCATGCAAAAAATAAAATTTGTTAAATATTTATAATTAGTATTTCAAGTTTCTATAAGTTTTCTTATTTTGTTTTAATTATTTACCACCAGAATATCAATCTGACAAGCTAACTAAAGTTAATTTTGTTATATAACTTACCAATAATCATCCAAATTCCAAAGCGAATCCATGTATACATATCTAATTGTAGCATTAAATAAATATTGACAAAAATACTAATTGCTGGAGTTAATGGAACCAATGGTACTTTGAAGTATGGATTTTCTTCTTCTCTTGGCTGAATTGATATTGCGAAAGTTATGAAAATGTTTATTAAGCCAAATAAACAAAGTAAAGTTATAGCCCATGGTGCTAAATTTAAAATTTCTTCACTTGCATACATAACTGTTAAACTAAAACCAAATGCGCAAGCACCTAAAAAAAATATTAAGTATTTAAATTTTTACTTGGTGATCTTTGAATTTTAATTGTAAGGTTTATGATCTATTTCATACTTACAATATATCAATAACATAACGGTTACTATAGTTGTAGAAAGACTACTTGGAATCCGATTTCTTTTCAAATTGAAAATTTGTATGACAATGTGGCGACAAGTTGTTTGACTACTACTACTACTATAATTGTTATTAACTAAGATAGTATCTTCATTATTATTTGGTCGTTTATATTCAATATTTGAATATTCATTGGAGTTATCCATAAATCGAAGTATTGTTAAGCAAATTGCAATTACTGTGTACGCTAAAAGTGTTCCAATCGATAACATATTTACAAGTTGTGTTAAATCAAATAATCCAGCAAAAAATCCTAAAATTTTAAAATTAAATAATCTTATGCATATGAAAACAATTTTTGAATTTATCTATTTTGTATTCACCTGTTAAAAATGCTGCACAAATAGAAGCGATAACTGGTGTTTTGAATCTCTTATTTATAATGCCTAAGAATTTAAATATCAAACCGTCCTGAGACATTGCATAAATAATTCGTGGTAATGGTAATAAAGCGCCCAATAAACTTGCAATCAATCCAAGCATACCACCAATTGTTACAATCCATTTAGCAACCTCCCAACCTATTTGTTCAAAAGCGTATGGTAATGGAGCATCAATATTCTATTAATAAAATAAAAGAAAATGTAAAATTTTTGCCATAGACAAAAAGTAACTAATGTTATTTTTTATGAAATTATAATTTACTTGTAAATAATATGGCCACATTAATGTTAAAACTGTAGAAACGCCAAAATATGATAAAAATATAATAAGTAATGAAAATAAAATAGCTCTTGGTATAGCTCTTCTTGGTTCTTTAACTTCTTCACCAGTTGTTGCAATACAATCGAAACCAACAAATCCAAAAAAGCATGTAGCAGCTCCACGTAATGTACCACCGAAACCAAATGGAAAAAAACCACCAGAACCTAATTTAGTTCCTTCATCTAAGGTTGAGTTATTAATTTCACTTGGATCGATTTGCCAATTTTTAATATCAGCTACAAATTTAAGGAAATTTTAATAATTACACAATAATTACATGAAATATTGGAAACAATAAATTTTTATTTTTACCTTTTATAGAACCAGCAACTATTACAAAAACTACAACTCCAATATTGATAAGCGTACAAAAATTGTTTAAAACAGCAGATGCTTGTATTCCAAATGCGATGCCAACTTTATATTATTGAATAAAATATAATTTGACATGAGTAATCAAAATTTTATATATTTATAAAACAAATATACATACATATAAACACATTAACTAATATGTCAATTATTTACCTCCAAAAATAATTGCTAAGGCAAATGCAAAAAAATCAAAATATGCACCAAGAAATCCCCAATCAATTGGTGTAACTTCACTAAATGTCACCTTTAGTGTATTATTTAATAATGTATCTAAATATAAACTTATTCCACGACAAACACTTGCTGAACCAATAACATATTCTAATATTAAATTCCAACCAATTATGAAAGCTGCAAATTCTCCAATACAGACATAACTGTATATATAAGCTGAACCAGCTTTTGGTACTCTAGCACCAAATTCAGCATAACAAAGACCTTTTAAATTAAATACTCATATAATGTATGTATAGTAAAAAAAAAAAGGCATACGGCTAATAAAACGCATAAAAAAATTATTACCTGCTAATAATGATGCTAATGCTGCAATTAAAAAACTTATAATTACTGATGGTCCTGCTTGATCTTTTGCTACATGACCGGCAAGAACATAAACTCCAACACCTAATGTTGCACCAACACCTAATGCTGTCAAATCATATGTGCCCAGAACTCGATTTAAATTTGTTTCTGTTTCATGATCATGTGTAAGGGTCTTCTTTCTAGTAAGTACTTTCCAATATGATAGTTGAGACATAATTATATTTTTTTTTTTTGTATATTTAATTGTAGGATTCCTTAATTATCACAGAAGGCTTAAGAACTGTATATGAAATTTTAGAATTATTTTGATTTTATTAAAAAGAATAAAATTTTAATTTTTAAAACTTCATATAATTTTGGATTTAAATTCTTTTTTAAGTAAACGTCTACGCTAATGAAATTTAAGTTTCGTTATGAATTAAATGCCGAAAAAATGTTTGTTTACATGTTTACATTGTTTACATTAAATTTCCTATTCAAAGTCACTAAAATTTTAGGTACCCATTTACATATATCACCTATAGATAAGTAGGTACATATTTATGTATGTGTTTGTTTAATTATATTAAGATATCTAGGGTTATCCAAACAATCTACATATATATTGATAAATATGGTGGCTTTTGTTTTTAGTGTGTAAAAAATACTGTTATAGATATGTTTTCTTTAAGATAAGATAAAAATCGCTACCTGGCTATCTAGGCTTTTATTTTTGTTTTCGTAAGCGATAAATATACATACGCACGTATATATATAATTATATTTACATAGAAATGGATGATTAATTTATCAGGTAATACAATAATATTATCATTATTGTTATTGTGTGTTTTTATCTTAACCTACAGATTTGAGATCAATTCTAAAGTAAAATAAATTTATTTATGTAGGTATTGTTATGTTTTAATAGTATTAATGCTAAAATTTTCATGTAATTTAAAAACAAATTTTAAATTAATGAAATCATTAAGTTAAAGTGATAATTACATAGAAATTATTAGAACATAGATAATTACATAGAAAATTAAATAGAAATTATTGAATACCATTTACCATTTGCATTGCAGATTTCTATTGCAGATTTTACTTACTAAAAATTCGATTTCATATCATATAGTTGGTGCATATTATAAAATATAAACTTCTTAACAATATTATATCACGGTGTATATCAATTAATAATTAAAATACATAATAAAAAAAAAGAAATTATAAATAAAAAAGCAAAACAATAGATAATTCAAATCCATGCCTAGACAAAGACGACTGGCTACGAATTAGAGATAACAAAGACCCAGTACGTAGGCTAGATTTATAATAAATAGTTAGGCAATATGCAAGTTTCAGTTTAAAATAATTAATAAGTAAACATTATTTATACAATACTTTAAAACACTTAAATGAGAAATAATAACTCATAATTAAAGTTTTGTAGTTTATAAATGAAATTAAACAAAATTATTAAAATAAAATATAGAGATAGCTTCATGTAACTATAAAATTATTCAAAAAATCATGAATAAATACCATTCTTCTTATTAAAAGCTTCAGATCGCCAGTGTGTCGGGTAGGAATTTTTAAAAAATTTTCAATTACTTAAGTTATTTCAACATTAATTCAATTAAAACTAAAATATTATTGGACAAATGCGTGTAATGAACGTTGAATTCAATATTTAATGTATATCATTTGTATGTCCAATATTTTAATTATACCTATGTACACTTACAATTGTTTTATCTTATTTTTTTCAAATAAATAAATTATAAGAAAATGGAAATCTTATCAGCCGAATTACAATGGAAAAAAAAATATTTCTTTTTTGTTCTTGTAATAAATTTGAAAAAAAAAAAATGACGGAAATAGGACATTATTAATTTTATTATTTTTTATCATTGGCTTTATTTAACAAATTATTTAAAGTGTACGTAATATCATATTTATAATCAAGTATCTTATAAGAACTTATTAATAGAAATTTTCGATTATTTGTAGACTCATTAAAATTTCAATATACATACAAATATACAGCTACATATACGTATCTAAGAGTTTCATATTAAAATTGCCAATATAAATTAGTAATGGGGACAGAAATGAGTTGTTCCCGATTCAAATTGTAAACTTTGAAATTCCATTAAATTATTAATTATAGAATATGCTGTGGGTATTAATTATGAAACTTTAATATAAAGCGCTATAAATATTGTTTACCTATTTACCGAAATATAATATTATATTTGTTTATGTATTTCTGAATGCAATCCTCTTTAATGTTACTAATTGTAATTAAATTGAAAAATTTATTAAATTACATTATCTTTGTATGTATACTAGTATAATGCATGTAAATAAAATCTATAAAATTCCAGCTCAGACGAGTCTAGTTCAATACAAAGTAGATTATTAATTTTATTATTTGTAAATATAAAATCATTTTTATTATATAAATTTCTCTTTAATGATTTTTTTTTATTTATATAATATTATTTTATTCTTTTTATATTGATTATAATGTTTTGAAATTGCGGCCTGATTTAGTGTTCATTTAATTTTGAGATTATAACTTCACTCTTGTTCGTATATCTGTATGCTATACATTTATTCATTACGAGTATATATAACTTTTCCATGAACTATAGACCAAATTCTAAAATATGGTAAAGGTTCAATTTGTATTGCATTTGAAAAAAATAATGCAATCAAGACAGATTGACTTCATATATAAAAAAAATTTATTATTTAAAACTTTGTCTCTATGTTGGAATATGTATACAAGTTTGTTACAAAACTCAATTGAAAACAGATGAAAACTGGAACTAAAAATGAATAATAGAATTTTTTTGTTTTTCATAAAATATTTGATATTAAATCAATTTTATAGTGCAATAATTATTTTTCTTAAATGGCTCTTTGAAAAATAATAAAATAATACCAGAAAAAAAAATACAATAACTCATAATTTATTGCTTTAATGAGATCAAAAACAAACTATCTCAAATTTTATATGAAATGAGATAGCTTTATTTTAGAGTTCTTCCAGAAATTTATAACATAATACATACTAAATATTAAACTAGGACTTATCTGACTAGATATTTTCAAAAAGTAGAAGCTAAAGCTCTAAATCAAAAAACGCTGAAGTGAGCTATACAGACTTAGATACTAAAATTTTACTTTCTCTTTAATTGATCGACCCATTTAACTTTAAGTGTTCAGAACGAATTAATTTGATTTTGATTTCTTAAATAATTCGCAAAATTTATTCTCAAATAATTTGCCTAACATCAAGTACTTGCATAATAAATTAATTATTTTTACAGTATGAGGCGATTCGTATTTGTGTGGACAAAAACATTGTACTAAGTATTGTGTATTTTATTGTTGTATTAATAATTAAAACTTCGGAGTTTTAAAGTACGCAAACTGGGCTTTTATAACCAAAAACAAACAAGGTTAAATAATCCAAACCGACTTTGGTAAATTTTTTTGTTGAAAGATTTTAAAACTAGTGTGTGTCACCCAATAGTTTAAAAATATCACATATGTTAATTGGGTAAAAAATATAAGCCAGATAACACAAAATAACTTGGATATAATTTAATGCCTAATAACTTGGAAACTAATTTAAATACCTAATTTAAGCTGTTTTAATTCTTCTTAGGTAATATAACAATACATACATATAAATGTATGATAACTCAAAATGGCGATAATAATTATATAATTTAATAATAAGAGGTATTTTGTTAAGTTAGTGGTAATTCTAATTATAACATAATTCATATAATGAATATTTATGTACATATATGAGAAATAATTTGTAAATATTTGTGCTATCTGTTAACATTATTCCATAATGACAGAATAACATATAATTCAGATTTTAAAGACTTGAAGAATTATAAAAATTTATAAGATTAGTCTAAGTTATCTTAATCAACTGTAGTTCTCAACCGTTATTTTTCTAAATAATTTCAATCTTAAAGTAAATAAATTGATATACATATAAGTAATTCAAAATCAAATATTTTACCCACATGTTATATTTTACTTTTTTAAACCTGTAAAATAACAATCATGTTATTTTGCATATTTGTACGTATGCTTTTTTACTTGTTATGTAAAAAATTTTGCAAATTTGTTATCTCATTCCTAAAAAATGAATGTTTATTTGTTCAAAGGGAAAAAATAATATAAGTTATAGCATGACATAATCTTATAATTATTAAAAAAGAAAGATAAGAAATTTATTAAATTTTTGTTTAAAATAGTCTTACAAATTTAATTAAAACCAAATATTTTTTCTGTAATGTAAGAATAAAAGAATTTGCAGTTGGTCAAACATATTATAGGATATTTTAAGAAAGTTTTCCTAATCATTTAAAAATATAGAATTAAACTGAATAAAAAATAAATACTTATTGGAACCATGTCAAGTATGAATGGTCCTGTGCGGACAATTTGATATACATACTGTAATTTAGGGCGATAAAAAGTAAGTTAGTTGACTAATATAATTTTAATTTTTCAAGAAAAACCTGTTTTTGTAAGAAATTAATTAATTGTTGATTATAATCAAACTTTAAGTTTTTAAATATTCATGGTGTAGTCTTTTTAATCCTTTAAAGGTCTTTGTAAAAGATGCGTAATGAAAAAATGTGTTTAATTGTGTTTTTAAGTTTTAATTAAACACGATAAAATTGTAGATAAATTAAATATTACTAACATTTTTCAATGAACAATTATACTTGTATTTCATAAAAAAGGAAATTAATGCAAGTGTAAAATAATATGTGAATTTATTCTGATTTATTTTTTATACTGACTTTATTAAAAAAATACTGAAACTTTGTTTAAAATTACCAACTTGCATTTATGATATTTAAATATTACGCCCGTGTATAAAAGAAAACAAAGTCTTATCAATTTAATTTACGTCATTATTATGATAAGATATAGAAAATACCAGAACACATGCGCGTACAGTATATTTTATAAAATTATAAACAAATCAGCTGATTAAAATTCGAGATTTGTATTTAATTTTGTTTTTAACTTTAATTATAGTAAAAAATATGTGTCAAAAGGGAAAATGTCATTAACTTTTTAGTAAATTAAAAAATAATATTTAAATAATAACTGATATCTATATTATATTATATAATGTAAATATTCTTAATACATATACGTAGATATATGTATATGTGCATATGTATGTACATATATTGAATAAAATGAAATTAAAAGTAAGGACATACATATCTAACGTATGTTTATATGCGAATAATATGATGTCATGACATGGGTAATGTCATCATGACAAACTGATATTTGAAAGTGATTTCATCGTTACATATTTAGTTTTATTCGAATTTGTAGTAGAAAGAGTTGAGGAAAATACATATTGTATATTCAACACGTAAAATTATATTTGGAATAGAATAAAATTCTGATGTCCTCTTGAATAAACGAAATCATCTCTCTTTTTAAACAATAATTTCGGCATTATCTCACAAATATGAAGTGAGTTTCCACCGTATATATACGTACTTACGTATGTCGCGACAGTTTATTATATGCATGTAGGTAACGTATTATATAATATTTCAGAATTTAAGCGGCGACACGAATGTTATGCAAGAATTCAATTACTTTCTTTTGTTTATATTATCCGTTAATTCGTGAAAATGTGATTTTTGAGGATTATGAGTATACTGCAAAATGCTGTAATAGATTAGAGCATTGCACTGCACGCTCAACATGCAAAATCTTTTCAAAAATTATTAAATAATATTCTGCTTTATATACAAAGGAAAGTAAATATAAAAAATTTTATAAATAATTTCCATATTTAAATAAAATATTTGCATATTATATCTATTATTACTATGAATATGTAAAATATATTTTGTAAAGACTTTAATTAATTGTATGAAGCACTATATTGTACGTATATCTATGTTTATGTATATGTATGTAAGTAGGCGGAACACGCAAATTACATTTTATTAAGTTTTAAATTTTGCACTTAATCCAAAAATAATTATTTATTATATCACTATGAATACGTATATTCTAAATTTAAATAAAACTCTTTGAATATAACACTTTTGTTAAAAAATTTAAATACATATTTGAATCACCATTTTTATATTAACAAAATAAATACTCTAAACTTTATTGCACCTATATATGTTTGTATAAATGTCGCTAATGTAAATTTTCCGAATTATTTAATTTAGTTTTGGAGCCATTTCTTAAATCACAGTTATAATTTAATTTTAATTTATATTTTATTTTATTATTTTATAAATGAATTCATTAATTATACAAATTATTTTAATATTTAATATCATGAAAATATTAATAAATATTTTAATAATTTGTGATTTTTTTTAATTCCTTCTTGTTAAATTATTAAAATAATACGTAAAATTATGTAATATGGCGGTAGATAATTAAAAATTAAATTTTTTGTACGTACTTTGTATTAATTTTTTTTTTTAATAAATAGGAAACCAAATTAATAATTTAAAACAACAAGTTTAATAAAAACTAATACACATAATTAATTTTGAAGAGAAAAAAAAAAATAAAATTGAAAATTTTGTTTTTAATAATAATTTTCAATGTGCAAGCACATTTTATATATTTGACTTCCTTTTTAGCTATTTTCTATTTTATTTATTTATGTATGTTTTTTTTTTTTACTTTTCAATATTAAAATAACATTTTTTTTCCTTCATGAACTGAAAACAACTAAATTAATAAGAGTAAACGGCAAATAGTAAGAGAAAAAAAAAGAAAGCAAAAAAAAATTAACAAAATAAATGTCTTATCTCATAATAGTCAAGATTCCGAGCGTTTTGAAGTTAAAGCGACCTTCAAAGATTACGCGTCGCTATATAACAAAATTATCTTTACGTTAGCATCACATAAATTAATAAAAATTTGTATTCTATTGGGAGATTTACAATAACAACATATTTTTTTTCTAATATTTTACATTAACATATTTAAAATCGCTTTTAGTACGTAATTATCATTTTAGTACACAATAATTTTAGTACAATTTCCTTAGCACTTTTATTAATTAAAATTTTTGAAACTTTTATATTTTAATCAATTCAATTAAATAATTATTAATTATTGTTGGATATGTATATACATATATATATATATATATATATATATATATACATATATATATTACGTGTACATGATAAATTAAAGGATATTAAATTAAATATTTTTTAATAAATAAATAAACTAATAAAAATAATAAATAGTTTAGCATACTTTTAAATAATTTATATTTTGTTTTGTTTTTTGGAGCAATCCCAATTTATGGGCAATTTAATACAACATTAAAGATTATATTCGTTTCGTTTCGATTTTTCAATATAATTAAGAACCGGTCTCAGTGAATTATTAATTAATACTGAGTAGCTGATAATAAATTTTAACTTATTGCTGTTATTCTTATTATTTGTTATTATTATTTTTTCTTTCGCTTTTGTCGATTAAAACAAACAATATTATGATTCTATTTAAATCAAAATTAAAGTACATAATATTATATTTTTATATATGTACCTATATAGGTACTCTTATTACAATTTAATAAAATTGTATTAATAGAATAGTTTCATGAAAATAAATTTTTTTATATCTATAAAATTATAAAATAAAATTATAGTAACCTTTGGTGTAATAAAGCCTGCTGTATAGACCTTATTCATATAGATTTGGTACATTGCTACAAATAAATCTTATTTTTGAAATTAAATATTTGTTTTGATAGCTTCTAGACTCCTGTGTTTTCCTTCAACTGGTTGATTTTCGCCCATGAATGAATTACTTGATATTTTATCTAATATTATGGTTTTAAACCTTGAGTGTTATTGGTGAAACTTTAGGAATTAAAAAAATTACATACATATTATGTGTAATAGGAGTGATTCGTTTTACTATTGCCTCAAGGATTGATATAACATTATGAGAGAAAAGCAAATTATACAACTGTAATTAATTATATATTACAATATAAACAAATCACTTTTCAAATGAACTGCAAATATTTTCATTATTCAATATTCATTTTTTTTGTTTATATCAATTTATTGAAATTATATTAAAAAGTTTCAATTACATTAGAGGCAACATAATATGGGTAACTAGTATTTTGTAAAATTTCTATTTGAATAATTAAAAAAATGTTATCGTAAAAACCAATAAAAGAATTTCTCTGATAAGAAACACTATCATGATTACAGAGTTATACATATTATGGGTATGATGATGTCTGTGTCAATTTTTTATTATTCTCTCTTTATTGTTTTTGAAGCATGGAAATTTCTATTGTTTTTTTGTCTCATATTTATTATAATCTCCTTTATGTAATTTATTTGAGATTTCACAATTGACTCTCTTATTTTTTTTTTTCGATTACAAAATATACAATATTAAGAATTACTTTCTTTATTTGATTTCCTATGTAAAATAGGTGAATTTTATACAATTATGACTAGTGATTGTATACGAGGGCCTTGATCTAAATCTAAGATAATTATGATAGCACTTTTTTTTTTGTTAATATAACTTAAATTGTGTGTAGTATCACTAATTTTTGTTCTAGACTATAGATGAAAAATTTAAAAATCATTTTTAATTTTAATAATAAAATATTTTGAAACACAACTTTGAATAATATAATTATTTAGATCTAAACAATATTATCTTTAAATTTTAGTACTTCCTGTGTTGAAAAGGAGGGTATAGGGGGCACTTATTTCTTTGGCGGCAAATTTTTTATTACTATAAAAATCTTTGAAAAAATATGCGTATAATATATGACCACTGGCAACCTTGTAAATTTTTAAAGATTATCAATTTGAGAAGTTCATTTACTCATATGTGTTACGCAATTAAATATTATATTACTTGATATTATTGATATTAAACGATAATATTTAATTTGAATTTCTCTTTTAGTTTAAAGGAGAATCGGGAATGAATATTAAATATTGTTTATTAAATTAAATAATATTATATAAGTTTCGATTGATAATTTTATTAATAGCAAAATTTAAATTTTTTTTTTTGACGTAGAAAATTAGGTTTAGACGTAGGGATTCTCAAAAATTATGTGTATACGACTGTTGTAAGTTAAATGTGTTTACTCATTTCCTTTACGGAAAAACCATTTCTTACGAGTCCTGCTTTATGTTGTTCTCGTCTATGCAATATTAAATTTCTAGTTTAAAAAAAAATTAATATAAATTTTAATTTTTTGTAAATTCTGCTTTTGAGTCGGGGAAGTTCCATTCAGTTGTACCTTTTGTCTTTAAGTCATAGTTGATTTAACTGATTTCTAATATTTAAAGTTCTTATTAACCAAAAGCCTATAGAACAGCTTAATTACTTGAAAAATTTCAATAAAAATTAATTTTTGAAAATTAAATTTTGTTTTTCAAACGCACATGATGAAGATGTTTTAAATAAAATTAAATTGCAATATTTTTTTATTTAGCACCTCCATAAAATTTATCAGATTCAATTTAAAACTTAATAATATTTTAAAATTATGTTTTGACATTAAAAAAAGAAATTATAACTAGCTAAATGCAAAAAATTTAGATTAAAGAGAATTTCTTACGTTTTTATAAAAAAAAATCAACTGTCAAATTATCTATTATAATATTTTTATTCTTTGTTGTTTTTTTATAAGGATTTTCTGTTCTAAATGAATTTTTTTTATCTAGATGAATAAGAGAACAATAACAACTTTTTTATTTCTTTTACATATTAAAAATATTATAAATGCAGCGAAGGCGATAACAATAATTGATTTAAATATTTTTTGACATTTTTCAATAAAAAACAATTCTTTGGTTTTCTTAATATACGAGTACCTTCATAGTAAGTTGGTTAACTTTATGAAATTATAAAAGGATATTTCATGTTAGGAATTCATAATTTCTTTTATTAGAGCGTTTATATATATATATATATATATATATGTACAATATGCGTATAATATAATGTACATTTATGGTTATACAAGTATTAGGCACCAATTTATATTAGAATTTGTTATTGGTAACTGTGGTACACCTTATGTTTTTCCTCTCATCTTCATATCAAAATAGGTTTTATTTCATTTTATTTATAGTATGAGCTGTTCAAAATCGAGCATATAAAAGGATTTCCATCAACAGTTAAAAAATCATTCTGTTACCAACTTCAGAAGGTTTCTGAATTAAAAAAAGAATAAAAAATAATATTATTTATTCTATAAAATAAACATTAAAAAAAAAAAATAAAGTAAAAATATAAAATGAGTCGATTTTCTATCTGTTCAGGATTCTTATTTTGCTGCAGTATTAGTGCATTATTTTTATTAATATGTCAAAATCAAATAATGACAGCACATGGATTTTCACCATTAGATAATCAAAAAGATGATACAACAAATCATGATTCAAATACAATACGTTTGAAATCAAATACAAGATCTGGATTTGGATATTTACCACGTGTTCTACAAATACCATCAAGATCAAAATTACCAGTAGAATTAGATTTGTTATTGGATGGTGATAATGAATTAATGGAAAAAGCAAAACGATATGATGATTATGGTCATTTAAGATTTGGTAAACGTGGTGGTAATGGTGATCAATTTGATGATTATGGACACATGAGATTTGGTAGAAGTGTTTAAGAATAAAATAGAAATGATGTTTTTCATCAATATCTTTTTAAAAACAAAATGGGTAATAAATATAATATTTTAATTAAGTATTTATTATATTTATAAATTTATGTATGCAATAACGCAAGAAAAAAATTTAAAAAAAAATTAAGAAGGAAAAAATTATATACGCAAAACTTTATTTCAAATTGAATTAAAAAAACTACTGTATACTAATTAATAATAATTAAAAAATTTTTAAATAAAATGCAATTATTATTAAAACAAAAATAATTAAAATCAATTATTAACAACCAAAAATAGTTTAGAACTAACGATGTAGTGTGAACATTAATTATAAATAAAAAATAAAGAGCGCATTTTAAAATATATTTAAATTTTTTATTGTATGAAAACTATACGCCTACAAGAAAGTAACCACAAAATAATTATTAAAGTCAAGTTGCATTTTTTAAATTTTATACCAAACTACGCTTGCTATTCACGTAAACATTTTAAAACGTAATATTACCTCTTCTTGGGTGTCAATACTCCCCGGTTACTATCTCTTTTAAACTTGGTGTAATTTTTATTTAAGTATATAAATATATTTTACTTACATACCTCGTCCTCAGTATCAACTTATTGCAATTTTACATCTATTGTTTGCTTAATTAAATTTTGTGTATAAGCAAGAATACAATACTGTAACACAATTAATATGAAAATTAATTATTTCTTTTAATATTATATTAAAAGAAAATCGAACAAATTTTACTAAATAAATCAATTCATTACAGTATTCTTATTATATTATTACATATTATACAGATGGCGGAATGGGATTTTCCAAGTAGATTTATGCTTTAAGATCGCCAAAGTAAAAAAATTATGAATGACGTTCTCCTTTATTGTTATTTTTTCTCAAGTTGACTCACAAATTAAGATAGTTAGCAAAATAATAATTGAGTAAGAAATTTTAAAATGTATTTCATTTAGTATGTACAAATTCTTGATGTGTTTTGGCAAGAAATTTTATTGTCTTTTAGATGCACAATAAATAAAAATTTTTAAACATAAGACAATTACCACCTAAACTTTTATTTTGCAGTATATGGTAAAATAATAAAAGCAGTTGATTCGGAAATGTTTGATTTTTATCGGATATAAATATTTCTATTGATTCAAAAGAAAGAATTCAGATTTGATAAATTTTCAAAATTATTGGATATTCTTAATTTTTTATGTGACTTGTAAGGACATTGGGTATTTGAATTGTACGTGGTTATTAAAGACAATATCTTTGTGTTAATAAATATCACAATTATCTTTGGATTTCATAGTTAAAATTTTTAATTAACCTTTCAAATTCAACAAATGTTAAAATTTAGAAAGATGACTATACAAATAGCAACAGAAATCGAGAAAATTTAGGTTTTACTCTGATTTTATTTTACATTTAAATTTATAATTTACAACATGAAATTCTTACTGATTTTTTTACACAAAAGACTTAAAAAATTAAGAAATTTTCATGATATTGAGCTATTGAACGTATAAAACGTTAGCTATTGAATTTATGGTATAACCTAACATGGTTTCTTATAGAAATTATAAACTAATGTTCTGCCTATCTTAAAATTTTACTAGTAATTGATTTCTTTCCATTTTCCGTACGACATAAAAATTTAATATTTAAACAAATTTCAATTCAAATTGTTTTTTTTTTTACTAAATTTATTTTATTTAATTATTAATAGCTATTTTTTGGTATTTTATATTTTTTTTATATTCATAATAATTAAAAACAAATTAAGTCATATGTATATAAAATAATAAGAATTTATTTTAATACTATAATTGAATTATTATTAGAATGCTAGTGTTAAATAGAGGATTTACATTAACGTTTTATGAGAGAAAAATTAAAAAAAAAATTAATTAAAAATTTCTAAATTTTAAATAGCTTTATACTAGAAATTTGTAGCCGTTGTACTATTTGAGTTCACATATATGCTAGGAACTGATAATGATCTTGTATTTTTTTCTGTAATAATTGTTGTTTCGAATTTTTGTTGACTTCTTCTTCTTTGAACACTATTTCTGAGACCATAAGTGAAATATATTACTAATCCTAAAAGTAGAAACATAAATTTATGTTTTGGTTGTTCTAATTCTGATATACACTAATATTACTCACCAATTAAAATCCATACGGCAAATCTAACCCATGTTTGAGAATCTAATTTTAACATTAAATAAACATTTATTAAAATTGAAATTCCTGGTAACCATGGTACTAATGGAACTTTAAATGCTAATTGTGCACTTGAAACTGGTTGACGTGATATAATGTATAATGTTGTGAAAATGGGTACTAATGATAAACATAATAAAAAGTAATCAAGCCAATAAATTTGATCAAAATTTTCTTCAAATTTGGAAACAACTAATCCAAAGAGTAGACACCAAACACCATATGATGCTACTGCTATTGTTGTAATTTTTGCTGATAAATGATTACTTGTTGCTGTTTGATTTTTAATAAACATTTTACGTAATAATACTTTTGCTGCCGCATAATTTCCACTACTTGAATTCAATTGAATACCTTTACCATTTATTGTTACTTTATTATTTTTATCATCGCTCTCATAACGTAATATTAGAACACAACTTGCAACCATTGAATATGCTAATAATGTACCAATTGACATCATATTTACTAATTGACTTAAATTGAAAATTGCTGCTAATGTACCAGTTAAAAAACCAGTTATTAATGTACCATTAAATGGTGTTTTAAAACGATCACTTATTCTACCCATAAATTGATATAAAAGACCATCAGCAGACATTGCAAATACAACTCTTGGTAATGGAAACATAGCACCCATTAAACTGGCACATAAACCGAACATAGCACCTATACTAACAATATATTCAGCTACAGTCCAACCATAAATTCTAAAAACATGTGGTAATGGAGCATTTTCATCTTGTTCAAAATATGGTATCATCATTGTTAATACAGTTGAAATACCAAAATATGCTAAAAATATCATAGCCAATGACACGATAACAGCAAATGGAATTGATTTACGTGGATTTTTAGCTTCTTCTCCTAAAAATTTAGAACAAAAAATATTTGTTATAATATCAGTTTAAAATGTTTGTATTAAGGTTTAGGTTATTTACATACCTGCAGTAGCAATACAATCGAAACCAATAAAACCATAAAAGCAAACTGCAGCACCTTTTATAACACCCGATATACCGTAAGGCATAAAACCACCTTCACCATAACCATCGGGAACCTGTTCTTTTGGTATACTCCAATTGGATGCATCAACTTTACGTAAATATAAAAGTTATACAGTATATTACTTTTTTATATAAAAGTTATAAATCTTTTTTTTATAGCTTACCTTTAAAAAGACCAGCAATAATAACAAATAATACAACACCCAAATTTAAAACTGTAAAAATATTATTAACAAATGTTGATTCTTTTGCTCCAAATGCTATCGCACATGAAAATAATATTGTAACTCCTAAAGCGAAAAAATCTGGATATTCACTTAGCCATGGAACATCCATTGGCATATGTTCTTTAAAGAAATTCTGCATAACATTGTCAAACAGTTTGTCTAAATAAGTACTTAATCCTTTCACTACACTTGCTGAACCTATAACATAAATATTTGAAAATTTATTTTATATCATCAAATTATACAGTTATATAATGTGGAAATTTTTAAACATACCAATTGCATATTCTAATATTAAATTCCATCCAATAAGAAATGCAATAAATTCTCCAATTGTTACATAACTGTATATATAAGCTGAACCAGCTTTTGGTACTCTTGCACCAAATTCAGCATAACATAAACCAGCAAATATTGATGCAATTGCTGCTATTAAAAAACTTAATATAACTGCTGGTCCAGCATGTTGTTTTGATACTTGTCCAGCTAATACATATACACCAACACCTAATGTACTACCAATACCTAATGCAGTCAAATCGAATGCTGTTAAAACTTTTGCTAATCTTGATTCAGTTGAATCCGATATTGGTTTTTTACGGCTAATTGCTTTTAAAAAACTTGAACATGATTGATGAATCACTCTGTAAGTAAAATAATAACAATGTATTAATCTGTATTATATAAATATAATTATTAATTATTTACAATATAAAGTAGTGTGTTGTTTGTAATTTTTCAAAGAAACTTCTTATCTCCAATATTCAAAAATAAACAATTGAAAAAAAATTTATTAAATTAACAATGTAATATTTTTTTTTTCAATCAATTACCTAATGCACTTTATTTTTATGATTATTGATTATTATTTTTATTATTATTTAATTTTTTATTACAAGAAAATTGTTGACAAGTTCTTTAATTTGCCCGATACTCGTGCAATATGTAAGTTTATACCTTTGTTTTTTTTTATGTTTTATTTGATTAGAACAAAATGGATTGCTTTAAAATTTTCATAATTAATTAATTTTATTATATTATTTAATATGACTATGTTATTTTGTAATATTTATATGAAATAATTTACAATAATAAAATAGGTTTATTGCAATTATATGTACATGGGTGAATAATATTAAAAATTTGTTGGGTATTGATATCAGGCGGTTTTTATGAAACAAAATTTCCCAAATGTTTCATAACATTAATTATGAAAAATTTTATTTAATAGGAAATTTGAGAGGATAAAACCAATTTTATTTTGTACTAATTAATTTTTGTTTAATTAAAAATCTGAAAAAATATGACGAATGTCTACTTGCTATAATAAAACGTATGTCTACTTGCTAAAAATTAATTGAATTAATTAGTGTAAATTAATTTTAATAAATTGATTAAATAAAAGGAATAGTAAAAATAATCTTTGTGATTGAAAACAATAAAAATTTTTAAAAATTAGCAAATTTACTATTTTTGGTAATAATTTTTTATAAATAATTAAAACAGAACGTTCAAAATTACAGAAATATTTGATTTAATTTTTTCATGTAAAAATATTAATGAAAACCTACATTTTATTTCACATTTCTTATTCCCCGGTGGGTTAGGGGAGTAGAAATACCCACATTTTTTATAAACAATTTTAATATAAATGTAGAATCTTAAAGAAAATTGGCTTATAATAAAATATTGTCGCAGCACGAACTCGATTTTAAGAATATTAGTGAAAATATGCTTCATTAATTATCTTAAGTATATTAAAATTCATTTTGTTGAAATAATTTGACCCCTTTGTTCCCATAATTAAAATTTCCTTATTATTCTTAAAATATGGTGAGGTATTCTGAAAAAAAAAGTGTATTTGTCAATTTATTTTAATTATGAAACGGTTACTTTCTTTGTCTTATAATTAAAAAATTTGACTTTTAATCGAAAAAAAGTAGTAGTTTAAATGTTTGAAGGTAACGTCATAAAAAAATTTTCGATAATTTTTTTTTTTAAAGGTAGCTGACCAGAAATTTTTTGTAATAGAGTTTTGAAAAGTTCTCTTTTTATAATTGAATTAAAGATATCTCAGTAAAATTAATGAAAACGCAAATGAAGTAATTACGCTGAGAAAGTCTTTTAAATAATGTAAGAGCGATAGCGTTAATTGAATACTCAATTGATAATTTATTACACAATTTCATTTACTGAACACTATTTTATTCTATTTCAATTTGAAAAATTTAAAGGCATTTTTATATGTATATATCGTAACTATTATATATAATAATATATATCGTAAATAATATATAATCGTAATATGTATGAAGCGAAAACAGTGCAAATAAATCATATGAACTGTTTTAATTTTATAGAATAGTTAAAAATATATTGCATATTCAATACGTTATTCAATACGTTTTTTGACAGTATTGCGATTCGCAGTTATCGTATTGCAGTATTATTTGGGTTATGGAGGTCTCTTACGTATGTATGAACATATTATTTTTAATATTTTGTATATTATAAATTCGATAAAATTTAATAAAATGAATGAAATAAACAATATAGACTTAATTTTAATAAAAAATTCTTGTTTAATTAAGAAATTTAACAGATTCATTTTTAGCACTTATTAATAAACAATTCAATTTAAATATATTTATTAGTGCATGTGTGTGTACCTTTAATTTTTGACAACCTTTCATACAAAAATCAAAATTTATCACGTCATATCACAAAATTTAAAACGAATTTTAAATAATTTTTAAATAATTTCAATATAAAGGTGATAATAAATTTAGAAAAAACTTATTTAATTATCATTAAGTTGTTAAAATATGACAAAACAAAAAAATAAACTTGCCAAAAAATTAATAATAATTTCAAATGAATCATTTTTTTTTTAAAGTAAAATAATTTTAATTAATTAATTATGAACGTTGTGTTTATTTTTCACGAAATTTTATAAAATAAAAGTAATGTAACATCCTTCGCCATATATACATACATGTATAACAGTTATGCTTGATATTCGTGAATTTTATTATGGTGAATTAATGCAGGCCTGTGTGCCTTTTATAAAATTCATTCAAAAATTATAAAAATTTTGAATTCTCTTCAAATTCTAAAAAAAAATTAAAATTTATAAGCAATATAGGAGTATTCTCCCCTATATTTAAGAAGAAAATATTCTCTCCAAGATTTAAGTATTTTTTGTATAATAGATGATTTTCTCCAAATACAAATTTGATTGAACAAAGTCAATTTTACGTGCCTATCTTTGTTGTAGTTGCCAGACAATATACGTATTAGGAAACAACTCGTAAATTAAAGCCCATTGTTAATAATTAACTAAATATTATTTAATCGTACTAATACTTAAAAATAGTGTACGCAATATAAAAAAATATTTTTTATAAAAAATTTTAAATGCTTTGTTGCTCTTTTTTTTTTGAAATATTAGTAATTAATTAACGATATTCATAAATTTTTCAAATGCAATTTACAATGCTATTAATTTCGAAAAATAATGTAATAATAATTGCATATTTTAATTTAAGTTAAATTTATTTGAAATTTTTAATAAATGTTCATTGAAATCATCGACATTAGTCCAAAGCTATCCAAACTGCACATAATTAAAGCATAGATACAAAATGTAAAGTAAACCGTTTCATTCGAAACTAGGTTATATATAGGAGTGCACAAGCGGATACGCAAAAAACCGACATCTATTGGAACTAATATGAGAAATTTAAAATAAAATATTGATAATCATTCAGATATTGTATTTTATCGAAAATATATTGAACTATAGTCACAAATTGACATATTCAGTTTTAAGTCTTTTGTTCCCTTATCATACAATAAGCACTTTAAGCTAGGCACTTTAATCTATTAAAATTTCACAATTTATAAGAAATTTTGTTATAGTTTCTTTTTTTTTTAGGAAAATCCAACATATTAGATGAAATTAATTTTAAAATTATAATTTTACTTACGTAACAGCACGCATTTTTTTTTATTAAAAATTTAACTTGTATAGAAAGAAGTTAATTAATTAATTACAATTAATTTATGCGTTTTTAACGTTCTTTAAAGATGAAGAACGCTTTAATTAATAACGCCTTTTTAATTAAACTTCTACGATTTGACTGATATTAAAAATATTTTAGTCTTTTAAAATAAACCCTTTTAAAAATTTTTTAATTTAAGATTAGAAAAAAAGAGACTATTTTTTTTTTATTATATTGATAAGAAACTTAAGATAATCTCTATCTAACATTTTTAATACTTGTAAGTAGAACAATAACAGTAATAATTAAAAAATATCGAAATGAGTGTGCAGTTAAGAGAAAATTTCCATATATTTTGTGAATATAATTTTATATTTATGAATATTTGAGTATATTAGATTGAGAATTTTTTACGGGCTATTTTTCTACAACAACTTCTATGTATATATTACATGAAAAACCAGTAATGCCTCTATTATAAAGCAAATGATCACCTGCAGTAAAATGTAATATGTAGTTATTATCTTAACAATTATCTGGCTAGTAATTATAGACACGTACCACAGTAAAAAATGTTTAAACTAACGTAATTAATATTACAATATTTTATTAAACTCAAATACTTTATACATCTGGTTTCCCTCATTATATTTATTGAATTAATTTCAAAAATATTTGTACATTTTTTTTTATTTTCATTTTTTGAATTTCTCAATTATTCTCAACTTAAGAGTAGCTTTTGTTATTGTTATACTCGTATAACAATATAATATCTAAGTAAACTAAGTAAAGTACATTGACTGATGAGTTTATCTTTAATTCTTACACCACACATATTATAAGTAATAATTATTATCATAATAAAATAATAATAAAAAATGAAAATAAATAAAATTGTTAGGCTTGCGACCAAGTAATTAATTGAAGGATTACAATGATTGTGATTTTTTATTTTTTTTTTTTTTTTTTCTTTTTCTGAAAATAATTGATAATAAATAATTTGTGAAATTTATAATTTATCTTATCATTTATATTATTTATTTCAATCTACAATTCTTCAAACACAAGTACCTATACTAAAATGTTAACATTTTTAACAAAATATAATATTTGAAGCCTTAAAATACGTACAACTGCAATAGAAAAGAGTTTTTATTTTATTGCGTTCCTTTTACAGAAATTACTTCGGAGTAAGTATTTCTAATATCATGCAGACCTAATATCATGCAGACATCTACCGGAATAAATATGAGCAACCATAACGTACTCCTCGGAACTATTCCCTTGTATATAGGATGGAGCAACTATGTTAGTGTTATACGTTTGGAGTGCCATATGGCGTTAAATGTAACGCTTTATAATTAATATAGGCAATTATGTATAAGAATTTATATTATTTAAAATGAAATAAAACAAAAACAAAGAAATTTAAATAATAAATATACTTTAAGTTTGATTTGAACTAAATTATTGACGTATTGCTCTTAAAATATGCGTTAAATATACCTACGTATATGAATGAATTACTGATACTATTATAATGATTTAAATCAAATAAATATTATTTTAAGAATAGAAGCATGCATAGTAACGGAGAAGTTTTAAATAAAATTTCTACACTATAACATAATTTTATTGTAATTTCAGGAAACATATATGACTATGTTGAGTATAATGAAAGGAAGAATGAAAGGATATACTACATTAAATTTTAATATAATTATAACTAAAATAATTACAATTGACTATCACAACGATTATTAACACTACTAAAATTATTTTATCAATTGATTATTATTGATTTAAACAATGATTTTAAATACCAATGTGTGTATTGAAAATTTTGAAAGGTCAAGGACACTCAACTTCAATTCAAGTAGTTCACGGTAACGCAACATATATTCGCCCTCTATGTTATTTAAATTGACACTCCAAATTTAAAATTTTTTTTAACTTAAGTAATGTTTTTTCTTCAATCAAATTAAAAACATTTAGCATAAATTTAAATAAATTTAAAAGAGTAAGTGATAAAAGAATAATATTTGCTTGTTTTTTAATAAATTGTTGAACTTTAAGCCATATACGATATAACAAAAATTTTTGCAAATTCTAAACTTGAGATAAAATTTTTAAGATGGATTGTATTGAACATTTTCAACAAAATATTTTATAATAAATTTTTAACTAATATTTCATTACTTATGTTTTTTAATCTTGTATATTATCATTGTATGAAACTAATAAATTTAATTCACTAAATATTTGAAGCTAATCTGAAATTATTAATTTACGATATGTAAATAATATCGTTTACGTATAAATTTTTGTAAATCATTGTTCAATAAAAAAAACGCTGAGAATTTCCCAGTTCGTCAAAACAAATTATTTTTCTTAAGAATATGAAAATTAGCACTATTTATTGGGACATGTAATTCTATAAGCATTAGAGAAATTGACATATTTTTATAAGTATGTTATATGCCCACATGTATAGCAATAGTAAAATTATAAACAAAAACGATAAGATATGTTTAGCAAGTTTTACATTTAAAATATTCATAAATTTATAAATTATTTTATTGAATTGAATTATTTAAGTTTTTTTAAAGTTGTTAATTGATTGTTTCTATTAAGTGGAATTGAGATTATTAGCTTTAATTTTGAATTTATCGCAAAAAGAAAAAAAAATTTTTTTGCTTATTATCTTAAAGATTGACGTATTTATGTAAAAATAAGGTCAGGTTTTTTTAGTATAAATGTAATTACAATTTTTTTTTTATAGTTTTTAAATTCTAAGATAATAGAAAATATTTTTGTTTTGTTTAAGGTGTCAACACATATTTGCATAAAACAGATTTTACTGATTTTTACTGGATTAATTTAATTGTATGTTCTATTTTGTTTTTGAACTTTTATCGTAATCGTAAATTATTAATGATTATAGATGTCTGCAATATTATTTTGTTAGGTTTCGAATTAAGGGATTAACGCAAAACCAAATTCACTAATTAAAAAATTTTTCTCATCGAACTGGACTCGAACCAGTGACCTAACGCTTTCTAGGCGGACGCTCTATCAACTGAGCTACAGAGGTATGAAGAAATTAATTTTTCTGCCTTTAACTCGTTCCTTTGATTACGTCATCCATCTGTTCTGCAGTTGCATGAAGAAAATTCCATTAAGTTAAAATTATTAGTCCAATAAGCACATTACTTATTAATTTCACAACTATGATGTTGTATTATAGTAAATTCATAAAAAAAATTCTACTCTTAATTTATATACGGTTTATTATGTATTAAAATTAACAAATTAATAAATTCGTACAAAAATATTTTTAACAATCGCTAATTGTTATTGATATTTTTTAAATAATTTTGTAAATAAAAGCAGTAATACAACTGAAAATCTAATTTTTCTTTATTATTTTTAAAAAATTTTCAACTTATACCTCGAGGTCAGAAAGAAAAAATCTCTAATTTTATTTTTTTTCACCACGAAGAAAACTCTATAAGTCTACAGTTATGCTACGCTATATACTCTGCAATATACATACGAGTATATATGTACTTACTTTTTATTCAGTAGAGTATCATATTCTGATGCAGCGCCAATACTTATTGATTCCATGTTGAATTTTCAATTAATTTAAAATTTGAAGTTTAAAAATAAAACTTTTCAATTAAATTTAAGATGTGCAATAATTAAATAAATTAAAATTTTTATTATATTTTATTTTGTTCTACAGATTTTTGTTCAAAAATTTTTACAGATTTTGTCTTTTTCTTCTTATGTTATACAAAATTATTATTTAATTGAAAACAATTAATATATATATATATGTATATATAAAGTTTAAATATATATTAGAGACTTGATAATAAAATATTGAAAATATTGGAAAATGAAGATGAAAATAAAAAGTTGTAAATTAATTCTGTCTGATGGTTTCAATTAATTTAATTGAATACTTTTCATATATATACGTACATACATAAATATGTATAAAATACGCATTTATGAACTAAAATTTCAATATTTTTATAAAAGAGTGATTAACCTTATATATTGAATGTTTATTAAATAAAATGTTGTTATAATTATTATAATATCACAGTTAAGTTTTTTATATTAAAAAATATTTATTCATACTTAATAATTTAATTATAATATAAACAAAATAATTATTTCTCATAAAATTGTTACAAAAATTTCGTGCATTTTTTTTTTTAATTTTTAATGGGCGAATTTAAAATTTTTTGTTATAAAATAATTTTAATTCAGTTTCAATATTACATCAGAAATATTGACGAAAATTCATTATTAATATTTATAATTATATTTAACGTTATTTAACAGACAAAAAAAGAGAATATTATTAAAAATGAGATTTTCAAAATTTATTAAATTTTATGCACTTTAGAAAAATTTTCTTATACGAGTATACACAAACTTATTTTTGCCAAATTTTCTAAAATTTTAATTGAAATTTAATACTTTTAACAATTTTATGTTATAATTTTAGAATTTTAAAAAAATTTAAATAAAAATTTGTATTTTTTTTTAACTATTCTATTGAGATGTTTATTTCTGAAGCACTTCTAAATTATAACTGAACGAATATTCGATATAAGAGTATATCTAAACTTCATGAGGATGATATTCTGATTTATAGAGTAAAGAAAATACAATAACAGCAATAACAAAATAATAATAATGTGTATAAGAAACTTGTTTGATTGCCACGCGGTGCACGCTCTAATAAGCAATATTAGTGTTGCCGTTGTATTTTAATTTTTTTTTTTTGTGATTTGAATCAATTTTTAATGTAATTGTAATCTATGTTGTAGTGAAATTAACTTGAATTATCTCTGTAGGTATGTATAGTTATTAAACCTCAAATTTTGACTTTTTGCTCGACTTTTGTTTTATAAATATACATATGTATATGAAATTTAGCTACAAGAAAGTCCTTTGGTTTTTTGGAATTTTAAAGATTCAGTCTGGTATTTTGGAATTTCATGGTACATTGAGGAAAATTTAGATAATAAAATTGGTTAAAACAATAAATTAAATAAATAGTTTTTATGAGAAAAAAAAATGGAAATTCTAATATAAAAGTTAC